GCATTCTACGCTCGAGCGACGCTTCTTGCGCTCGAGCAAGGTCATTGTTGTGTCTGGTCACTCAAGCGACAACTCCTTCGCTCGAGCGAGGACTACGTATATCAGTTCGCAGCAACGTGATTTTATATCACTTTTTGGTCTCTTTTTCACCCAAAACCCTAATCCGGCTGCCTCTCTCTCTAAAACACACACTCGCTCTCTACAAATACTCCATGATCTTGGGTCTCTTTACCCTACACCCTTTGTTAAAAAGACAGAGTTTTGCGTGGGCTTCCTTTTGATTCGAAAAAAGTTTGAGTTTTGGGCATCTTCAAGTTTCTCCTTCTTTCTTGTTGAGCTCTACATTTGAGGTAGGGATATTCTACTCTTTAATATGAGCTTTAACCTAGATATTTGTCATTTTGTATAAATTGTGGGATTTGGGAAAATTTGGGTGAAGTTAAGGTTAGGGTTTTGATATTTGCAAGAGGGGTTTTCCATATTTGGTACCATATGTGTATAAGAGGCCTTGAACATGATATTGCTTGCGTATAATTGGTAAAATTTGGTCTTGGGTGTAATATTTGTGAAAGGGGAAAAATTGCCCTAATTTAAATTAAATAATTATTTTGTTTGAATAATGAAATTGGTATGGGAAATATAAAATTAGGAGGATGTGTAAATAAAGGGTGTAGTTGGTTTTGATAAATCATTCACCTATGGAATTTGATAATTTATCTGTTGATAGATTTATTTATCTGTTTAGATATATCTGTTTTGGGCTATCGGTGGAGGATAGCTGTGATTGTTGTAAAAACTACATGAGGACTAGGTAAATTAAAACTAGTCATATGAATATTGTCATTGAATATGACGGTTTGATTAAACCATTAAATATGTGATTTGATTAGTCATTGTATATGACAAAGTGTTTAAATACATTTTATATATATATATATATCATTGTTTGGGAGGAGATAACGGATGTGCTCCATTGTTTGGGAGGAGATAGGAGATGGACTCCATTGATAATTAAGTTGGCTGGAGTGTTTAGGGTGAAAGTCCCGAAATCTTATATATTTCTGGGTGTCAGTCTCCTCGGACATGTTTCCGTAAAATGGCAAGAAATAGAAGTGTTGGATTGATGAATGTATTGAATTGTGAACCATTGAGTTGTAGTCTCATATTGGTTGCTTTGATAATAACGAATTTGGTTAATTGACTTACCCGAAATGGAAGAATGGAAATGAATTGAGATATTGGTTGCCTATATTGAATGACCTTGAAAAGGATGTGTGTTGGTTAAGAATTTTGCACATTTAACTGATGCTCATATTTTAGTTAATTCTCATATATTGTTTAGTATATCTCTACTGGGCTTTGGCTCACCCTACTTGGGAAACCATTTTTAGGTACACGTGACATATCGCCTCCAAGGACATAGCTTGGGAGGTTTAGGGGCTGAAGGCTCCATTTTGCATATTTTGTTTTGTGTTTAATGTTTATTCAAGCCGAGGGCTTTACTTGTATAGAGACTAGACTCTTCTTTTGTTGTAACCAAGCAAAGTCTTGGAAAGATGTAAGCCCTTAGGGCATTTATTTTGTTATTCTCAATTAGAGTTATATGCTATAGTTTCAAGATGAACATTTATGAAAATGTAAGGCATGAGATATCTCTTGTAACATTTCTATTATGTCTATAGATCTCATGAATAAATGATTTATATAATATTTTGAGGGCGTTACACTACTAAAGTAAATGTAACCTTTTCGTTATTTATTTTTTATTTTTATTTTTTTGGTAGTTGTATTTGGGTTTTGAATTTAGTAAACCTTAAACTATGAGTTTTGATATGTAAAGCTTAATGAAATTACCTATGCTTGCGCTTCTTTTTCGTTTATGTCAATGAAGTTGCTTTCTGATTCAATGTTTTCATTTATTCTTTTGTATTGTTATTGTTGCTCATACTTGTTCTTATCGAGATAGGCCTTTGTTTTCTGCACCTGTGAAATGAATCTATGCCCTCTATTATTTGCAATACAAATGGGATTTGATAGTTCATTTGTACAAAACAACGAGAATAATCTGTCCAAATCTATCCAGAGAAAAAAAAATCTGTCCATAACAAAATAAATCTGTCCAACACAAAATAAACCAAACCAAATATGTCCAACACAAGGGTGTGTTTGGTAACGTTTACGTTTTTAGTTTATATTTACAGAAATTTTATAAACTGGTTTTTGTTTATTTTTTGTTTATTTTTAGAAAAACATAAACTACAAACGCGTTTGGTAATTGACAAAATGTTTTAAAAAATTTAAAAATATAAAAAAAGTGAGAAATGGCAAGTGGTGGCAAATGGCGGCGGAAGACGGCGGTGGAAAGTGGTGACGGTGGGTGGTGGGTAGCTGGTGGTGGTGGTAATGGGTGGGTGGGTGACGGTGGCGGGTGGTGGGTAGCTGGTGGTGGTGGTAATGGGCAGGTGGGTGGTGGGTGATGAATAGAGAAAAATGAGTGTCAATTGACAAAATTAGCACTCTCAATTAAAAACTCACGGTTCAATTTTTATTTTATTTTATATTTGTAATTTCCCCAAATAAAAAATTTTCTGACACAAATTGTCCAAAATGACAGCACAACATCTTGGGCTGAAGAACATGGAATTTACTTGAAATCACAATCTCTGAGAAAAGCAACTGTTCCATAAAGCTACATCTTATGCACACAGCTCAGCTGAAGAAACATATCACAAGTAGCCCAACCAGCAGAAGTGACAAAATATGCAACTCTACAAATTCGTTTCAAGGCGAGAAATTCCATTGGTAACTGATCACAAAATACAAAAGCTAAAACGAGCTGCAGAACCACATTCTCTCATTTTTCTATGCTTTAGCTACATTAGGATATGCCCATAAAACTTTTTTCATTCACTCATTTCCAGTGCACCAATAGGCCTCATCAAATACAATGAACTTTTGGAGGGAGCTTCATTCATTAAGATCTGATCTGCGCTGCACTGGAACGTTATTGCAAAAGTGTTATTTCAATATCTTATTTGAATACATGTTTAATCGCATGTTGTCCATGGAAACACATTTTTTGTGTTTTCATTTTTTGGCCAAATTTATAAATTGAGACCATTGATTTATAAATCAAAAATTTTACCAAACAAGTTTTTATTTGAGTTTTTAAAATTTTTGTAAATATAAACAGAAAACAGAAAACGTAAGTGTTACCAAACACCACCAAAATAAGTCAGTCCAAATCTGTCCAAAACAGAAGAAATCTGTCCAAATCTATCCAGAACAAAATAAATATGTCCATAACAAAATAAATCTTTCCAACAAAAAATAAACCAAACCAAATCTGTCCAACACAAAATAAATCAGTCCAAATCTTTGCCACTTAAAAAATAAATCTGTCAAAAAACAAAATAAACCAAACCAAATCTATCCAACACAAAATGCATTTGTCCAAAACAAATGAAGATAAAATAAACTTCTTAGGGATGTCCATCTACATGACTGTCAGCAGGACTATGTGACGCTTGTGAGACTTGGACTATATGACGCTTGCAAAGTGTTGAACACTTGTATCTCGAAGCAACTCCTGAAAAGATCGGTGAGTGGGATACACAGAAGGCATTGACTGAGGCATGTTATTTCCCTGCAATAAACCAAACCATCTATTAAACTTTGATTACAATGTATACTACCCTTTTAATGTAAACTATGTAACCAATGATAACTCACATCATATGTACCATACGTAAAAGGAGGACCACTTGTAGCACCCATAAGAACTTGAGGTCGAGGCTGAGATTGAGAAATGTAGACACCATGACAATGATCCTAAATACAGCTAATATAAAGTATGTAAACAAAAATTTTGAAAAACAAAAGAAACATCATTCAGCATTAATATTACCTAATTATAATTACTACCCATGACGAAACGAGGTTGTGCTTGAGAAATATAGACACTAACACCATAATCCTAAATACAACCAATATAAAGTATGTAAACAAAAATTTTGAAAAAAAAAAAAAAGAAACAATATTCAACATTTTCTTAAAAGCTTGCACACAAATAAATATTACCTGATTAAAATTATTACCCATGATAAAACGAGATTGTGATTGACCTTGGAAAGTATAAACAGCAGCACCCAACTGCATTGCCAGGCAAACCAATTAAAGATAACAAAAATTAAATGTCATCTGGATAGTTCATAATGTCATACTAGTGAACGGACTCAATGAAAGGAATTCATAAAACTATCCATAAAAAGACCACATTACTATTACATATTACCTGCATAGAATTACTACCCATGACGAAACGAGGTTGTGATTCACCTTGGGAAGTATAAACAATAGCACCCGACTACACTGCCAAACAAACCAATTAAAGATAACAAAAATTAAATGCCATCTGAATAGTTCATTATTTCATAATAGTGAACGGACTGAATGAAAAGAATTCATAAAACTAACCATAAAAAGACCACATTACTATTAAATATTACCTTAACAGAATTACTACGCATGACGAAATGAGGTTGTGATTCACCTTGGGAAGTATAAATAGTAGCACCCGACTACATTGCTAAGCAAACCAATTAAAGATAACAAAAATTAAATGCTATCTGGATAGTTCATTATTTCATAATAGTGAACGGACTGAATGAAAAAAATTCATAAAACTAACCATATAAAGACCACATTACTATTAAATATTATCTGAATAGAATTATTACCCATGCCGAAAAGAGGTTGAGATTCACATTGGAGAGTATAATCAGCGGCACCCTACATACAACGAAAAACCATAATGAAAGTGGGTCATAAATAATAAAAAAAATCATTGTTTTAGTTTATTAATCTAGTGTATTTTAATCATATGCAATTTTTCATCTCCAAACCTGAATAGATTGCATCTTTTTCTTCTTTGCAATAGATTTTTCCATCCCGCCTTTGATCCTCCTTTTTCCCTTACTAGTTGATTCTCTTTTCTTGAGTTACTCAACTTGGATTGGACAATCTACTTCATCACTCTGTGGGCATGTGTTGCTTGACGAATTTCTCAAATCAGTTACCTCCACTTGACCACAAATATGGACACTTAATTTGTCTTCAACCATAACACTCAATTCTTCACCTTTTGAAACTGACAACTGATAAGTTTCTTCACTTTCAGCGGCTCTACTCGCTATTGCTCTAAACATGGTCATTAATGACTGATATCGGTCACTTTGATGTAGTTTCACATCAGCCTTCACTTCATACCCATGTCTATCTTTCACACTTTCAGCCCTTGCTTTTTTAGTCCATTGTTTGAGTATATATTGTAGAGGAAGTTCTGTTGCATTGAATATATCTCTAAGCACCTTCACACAATGTCGACACAGTATGCCCTTCACTTCAAACTTCCTGCAACTACAACTCAAAGAACCACCTATATCCATTGTCACATTCTTATCTTTTTTTCCATCTACCACTATTCTTATTGTGAATATGGTTACTCTTACCATCATTAATAGTGCCTATAATGGATGCTTCAATGGACTGCAAGTACTCATTTTGGAATTCCTCAAAAATTGTTTTCGTGTAAATCTTTGCCACTTGCTTTAACATCAAAGTTGAAATTGAAACCCACGGCAATTTTTTGGGACAAATTATACTCGGCTTCCAATTCCTTATACCTCTTCTCATAAAGCACTCTCTCAAAATGCATGAAGAACTCCATCAAATTATGGTCACAATTCAGATAATCCTTCAAAAATGCATTGAAGGATTCGCTAAGTTAAGTGGTACTCATTCCAGCTGCCCAAGAATTCATAGTATATGGCTATCCCCATTTCTTCTTCATGTGAAAAGTCTGCTCCAACCAATGATTGTCACATGCATCATACTTATCAAGCATTTGGTCCCACTGTATTCGGAATTCTTCATCATCATCAATGTCATGCATAAATTTTGAAAACACAGCCTTGACCCCTACATCATCAAAAACAAAACTTACATGCTTGACAGCATTTTGCATCAAATGCCACGTACAAAGTCGATGGTTTGTATCGGGCATGACAATTAGAATGGCCTTAGACATTGCAGCATCTTGATCTGTGAAAATAGTTTTTGGAGCTTTGTTTAACATTGCCTCTAGAAAAATTTGAAACAACCATGTAAAAGATTCAGTAGTCTCATCATACATCAACGTTGCACCGAATAATTGTTTCTCGATGATGATTAAATCCAACAAATGATCCAAAAGGTCTATGCTCGTTATTTAATTTGTAAGTAGTGTCAAATGTCACTACATCACCAAACTGAGCATAGTCCATGATCATTTGAGCATCGGCCCAAAATATATTAGTTATCTGCTCTTCACAATCTAATTGGACTGCATAAAAAAAAAGATGGATTTTTCACAGTTTTTTTACGAAAGTAATGCAACACACTACCCGCTTCTCCATATTCCAAATCTTTTTGTCTCTTCGATCTTAAGTAATTTTTTTGGTCCAATTTCGTGAAATCAAGTGATGCTTTTCCACCAGATTCCCTACTAAATAGCTCATAAGCAGACCTAAGAGGAATTCCAGATTTTGAAGCCAATTCTACTGCAATTGCTTGGGTGGTAGATATTTTTCTTTGGGATGGCAACATATGAATACAATCTTGAGGCACAAGATCATGATTATGATGTTCAACAAAATCACAAGTAATATATTTTCCTGAAATTCTATCTAACTTGATACTAAATCAGGCACCACAACCACATCTTACCTCTTGTCTCGAATTTTTGACAAGTGGATCTTGTTTGTCAATACCCCGACTTCCCTCTTTGTAGCATACAAACGTCTGTGATGTTATCTCCTTCGTATGTTTGTTCTTATTTGCATAGGCCTTCCTAATACTAAAGCCCACATTTCCCCCATACGTATTGTAAAAGTCATATGCGGCTTGTTCAGAGTCAAATGGCATTCCCACTTTCGGCTTCTAACCACAATCATCAACAATATTATTTTCTTCCATTACCTACAATTCAGTATCATTAATAATCAATTTCTCTATTCTTGCTATTTTTTACACATCTCTCTCATATATATAAACCACATTTATACTTAATTGCAATATATATATATATATATAATGGAAGAAAATTATATGAATCCACAAATAAATGTATGAATCAAAAAATAATATTTACAAGTAAATGTGATTAACTATCTAACAACAAATATGAATCCACTAGAACAGATCAATGTGATTAACTATCAAACCCAAGAATCAAATATATCCAACCCAACAGTCAAATATAATTCATATATGAATCCCCAAAAAACTGAATATGTTATATATAGAACAACAGATTTATATAGAATCAAACATATCAAACCCAACAATCAAATATAATTTATATATGAATCCCCAAAAATCTAAATTATATATATATAGAACATAAAATTTACCTACTTCAGTGAGTGAACCCATTTCAATGAGTGAACCTATTTCATATGAAAAAAATCTGAATTAATTGATTTCAAAAAAATCTGAATCATGGGTTAAAATCTGAATCAAAAAAATCTGAATTATGATTTCAGTGAAATCAATTAATAAAACATATATGATTTTTTTCATATAGATTAAGTGAAATGGGTTAAATAAATCAACATATATAGGTTAAAAAATCATATATGGTTCCAATCTATTTATATGTTTTCAATAACAACCCATCTGTCACGCCCCACTTGATTAAGTGACTGAACCAAACCAAAATCAATAACAAATCTATACATGTATATATATATAACAACAAATCTACACATATATACATATATATATATATACCAGCAAGATGATGAAATAGACCTCGCCGTCGCCGCAATGTCACCTAAATAAATCAACATATATGGGTTAAAAAATCATATATGGTTCCAATCTATTTATATGTTTTCAATAACAACCCATCTATGAATCCCCAATAGATTAAGTGACTGAACCAAACCAAAATCAATAACAAATCTATACATGTATATATATATAACAACAAATCTACACATATATACATATATATATATATACCAGCAAGATGATGAAATAGACCTCGCCGTCGCCGCAATGTCACCTTTTCGCCATCGCATCACCAGTGGACTCACCGTCACCTGCAATCCTTTGCGTTGCTCCTCCGCTATCGCACTGCTCCTCCATCTCTGCCATCTCTTTCATCTCTCAGTTCCTCTCAGTTCGCATTCGTTCTCTTTCAGTTCCTCACTCCAACTTTCAGTCGCCTCTCGCGATGCCTCTCTCTCTCTGCTAGGGTTCACTAACTCAAATCGATGGTGCAAAGCAAAGAAGATGATACAGAGAAGAGAAAATGGGGGAAATGAGGGAAATGAAATTTTTGAATAAAAAAAAAACCACTAAATAAGACGGCGTTGTTTTCTCCAAAACGACGTCATTTTGGAGACCACTACAAGAACCACCGCAAGAAACCATGGCAGATGATCTGGACTCTTAGCTTTGCAGCTCAGTCCACAAAGAGGGTGACCTATATAGGCTAGATTGAGATAATGTTGTAGTGTCAAATATTGATTGGTGAGTGAAACCACTACGCCATAGGGATGGATTCTATTTGCACCCAAAAAATTATTAAATACGCCCAATTTCTTAATACATTATATTAAATTATTTAGGGTTATAATTTACTCTCGATACACCTTATATTTTTTTTTTCCCCCAAATTACCCTTAAGGTATACCCAAATAAGAAGACAAAAATCCTTAATTACACCACTTTGAAAAATCCTTTCAAAAAATATACAACAGTATTGAGGAACAAATTGCGATTTTCAAAAAACAAAACCAAATTTTTAATCATTTCTTTATAATTTTCATAATTTTGTTGTTCAATTGAAACTTGTTTTTGTTGTTCAATTGAAAATCTGTTTTTGGCCCTGGGGATCATTTGGTTCTTGATATGCTTGATTTCCTAGAGTGAAAACATTTCAAATCTTCTGATAGCTGTTTATTTGTAGGTTTGAAAGTTTAAGAAATTTCGTGCTATGTGTTATCCTTATAAAACTTGTTCTCGATCCACATAATTAAAAAAAAAATGTATTTATCTATTGGAAATGGCTTCCCTCCAATCCAATCACGGACTGGAGGATACTGTTGGACCCGTGGGCCCACCACGGGTCCCATTTCAATAATCTAAACCGTTCAATGTATAGAACTCGTCGAGTACTATATGCCTGTAGGTTTGAAAGTTTAAGAAATTCCGTGCTATGTGTTCTCCTTATAAAACTTGTTCTCGATCCACATAATTAAAAAAAAAAATGTATTTATCTATTGGAAATGGCTTCCCTCCAATCCAATCACGAACTGGAGGATACTATTGGACCCGTGGGCCCACCACGGGTCCCATTTCAATAATCTAAACCGTTCAATGTGTAGAACTCGTCGAGTACTATATGCCTGTAAATAATAACATTGATCGGATATCAATAACTATATGATCAAATCAGTTTTGTATGAAAAAAATGGACGGCGAAAAATAAACGGCTTACAAAAATATGATTTGATCACATAGCTATCAATATCCGATCAACGTGATGTTTTATAGATATATAGTACTCGACGAGTTCTACACATTGAACGGTTCGGATTATCGAAACGGGACCCGTGGTGGGCCTCCAAGGGCCCAATAGTACCCTCCAGTCCAATCACGGACTGGAGAGAAGCCATTTCCTTATCTATTATTAAAAAATATATATTTATCTGTAATCAAAATCATACAAGTGTAATCAAAATTATATATTTATCCATTATTAGTAAATGCAAGAAACTAGAGGGTTGTAAAAAAAAATAGTGATGAGCGACAGATCAAAGGGGATCTCGAAATCGCGGCAATGACTTGTTGGGTTAGAAATCATTCTAGAGGATCTCATAGAAGCATTCTAAATCATTGGTGGTGTAGATTGGAGTTTTAGGATAAGAAAAAAGATAAAGAGAAAATAATTGAAATTTAGAAAGAAAAAAAAAATGATGAAAGTTAAATATAAAAAATAGGTATAAGTAGTTTGAATGTAGGGTCGTGTTGTAGTGTGCAACCCTTTAAGTGTTGCACACCATATGCCCCTTCATTATTGGCCATTGGATTACCCAAGTTGATCCTAACCATTGAATTATTTAATTTTGAAAAATTGGACACCAGAGCAACCGGTTGACCGATCTATATTCTCTCTTCTTGCATAGTATTCTCTCTAGTTTTACTTTCGTCTCTGTGTCGCCCTCTCTCTCTCTCTCTCTCTCTCTCTCTCTCTGCTACCCCTTCCTTCCATCTCTTCTCCTGCTCCTCTCGCTCTCTTCTCTCTCTACTGCGCTCATTCCTCTCTCTTTCTCTGGCTCGATTGAATGCAAGTCGAAGTGGTTGTTCTATTTAAAACCCTAATCTAACCCAGTGAGCCTTTGTTTGGTTTCTAAGAAAATAAAGAATTTTTTTTGGAAGAGCACTCAACAAGGTATGCCTCCCC